TTGAAAAGTTTCATGATGTCAAACTTGGCTTAAAGTCCCCGTGAAATCAAAATTGAACCTATTTACTTTGTTAGCGCATATTACTAGTCTTGTGGTGAACAATTAATCCGTGCAAGTGAATATATATTAAAAAAATGTTTTACCTTAGTAATCTTTAATCAAAATCTGAAAAGTTACTTCCGGTCTGGGACGGTTTCTTTTTCTAATGACGTAGGTTTCACAGTTTGGGTGGGGAAACGCTTAACCACTCCCCTCAAACCGTTAGTTTGCTATGAGCGAGAGATGGAGAGGAGGAGCGCTAGAGTCAAACCCTGCCCTCTGTTCAATATTCCGTTTCACTTGGAAATACGTCACAGCACTGGAGAAAAATCGTTTGCAACTTCCGGTTCACGGGGACTTTAACATTTCAATGTTTTGAATTAAACCAACCAAATTACTTTTCGCTCAGCATTAAACTTAACCAAAGTCTAGAAAAGGTGTAAGTTACTTCGTTAGATTAGGTGGACCAGAAACTTTTGTTAGGTAGCTCCAGTTTATAAACAGTTTAAAATAAAGTATATGAGGCTTTTGCTAGTGTATTTTTTATTATATTATACATATATGATATATTTACACTAGTATATATATGTATATATATATATATATGCTAGTGTATAGTTATATATATATATATATATATATATATATAGTAACTATATATACTGTATAGAGTTACTGTTTTTAATGTTTTTTTTGTGTGTGTTTTTTCAAGTTGTATGCTCATCAAGCCTGCATTTATTTGATAAAAATGCAGGAAAAGCTGTAATATTGTGAAATATTATTATAATTAAAAATAATGGTTTTCTATTTTAATTTACTTGGAAAATATAATTGATTTATTTCTGTGATGCAAAGCTGAATTTTCAGTATCTTCAGTGTCACTTAATCCTCATTATAATATTCTGATTATTAATGTTGGAAACAGTTGTGCTGCTTAAAATTTTAATCTTTTCTAACAATATAAATATTTACTGTCACTTTTTTATCAATTTAACACATCCTTATTGAATAAAATTATTAATTTCTTTGGAAAAAAATAAAAAAGTATCACTGGGAATAAAAAATATTAAGCAGCACAACTGTTTCCAACATTGATACTAAATCAGCATAATAGACTTATTTCTGAAGGATTGGAGTCTGGAATAACGATGCAGAAAATTCAGCTTTGCATCACAGAAAGAAATTAGATTTTAAAGTATATTCAAAAAGAAATCTGTTATTTTAAATTGTAATAATATTTCACAATATTACTTGTTTTTTTTCTGTAAATTTTGATAAAATTAATGCAGGCTTGATGAGCATAAGAGACTTTTTTTTTTGAAAAACATAAAAAAAAAGTAATATGTTTCCAAACCTTGGACCAGTACTGTGTAAATAAAGCAAACGTTAGCACACATACTTATGTGTATATTTGTGTGTATGTCTATCTATCTTTTGTTTATAGTATAAGTTCTTATTTGCTGTCGTTATGCCTTAAATATGCTACCTGTAAATAAATTTTAGAGCTAACTTAGCCGATAACCACCGCAATATCACATTTATATAAATCATAGCAGAGTCTTGTATTACATGTAAGTTGTATATGTTGTTTTAGGTGATGTGTAGCACGTAGGTTTGGCATCACAAGCAGCCTGCCCAGCAACATTCACCACGGCGGGGGAAATCAGACCCATTGTGTGCAGGGTGGTTATCTACCTACAGCGGGACATGTCAGGAGAGAGCTGCCTGCACCAGCTTCAACCGCAAACTGGGCCCATTGTGTCAGTCTCTTCAGTGGCCTGCCCCAAGACTAACACTTGCACCTACCGCGGTGTCACCGGAAACAAGTACGTACAGCTCAATGTTGGTGGAAATCTTTACTATTCAACACTGCAAGTGCTCACCCGACAGGACACCCTGCTGAGATCCATGTTTAGCGGCAAAAAGGAAGTGCTCACTGATAAGGAAGGTAAGTTATTTAGACATTGCAGAGGTAACGCCTCTTTAACCTTGACTCAGTGCTGCTGTTGTTAAAGTGAGTTCTCTGTTATTTTTTCTTTAGGTTGGATCCTAATAGATCGCGGTGGGAAACACTTTGGTTTGATTCTCAGCTATCTCCGAGATGGATTTGTGACTTTGCCCAAGAGCAGACAGGGTATCATGGAGCTCCTAGCAGAAGCCAAGTATTACCTGATCCAGGGCTTGATAGATTTGTGCCAGGAGGCCCTGCAGGTTGGTTTAGAATAATGAAAGGAAGTTGTGCACTCACTTGATTATGTGTGATCTTGCTTTTGTGTTATTCTGATGATACCTGTCAACAAAATTAGGTTTAAAAAAAATTTTGGGACATGTCAAGCACATTTCCACCACACATTTTTATTGTTATTCATTAAGATTTCATGGTAGTACGTACTAGTGAGAATTAGGGCAAATTTCCATAAAGGTGTTTGTAAAAAAATTAATATATGTAAAAAAAAAAAAGCAAAATATATGTATATATTCTAAAGTAATATACATTAAGAAAAAAGTATTTTTTGTTTGTTTATTAGTTGAAATGAGACCCAGTTGTTGTTTTTTTTTAGATATTGGTTTGTTTGTTGATCTATTTTTATTTTGTTCAAATATTCCCATGTATTAGGGCTGTGAAACGATTAATCGCATTCAAAATTAAAGTTTGTGTTTATATAATATACGAGTGTGTAGTGTGTGTATAATTATTTTGTATATATAAAAACACGCACATGCATGTATATATTTAAGAAATATTTGCATGTATATACTTTATATATATTTATACAAAATTAATATTATACATACATATAAATATTTGAGATATTAATAACACATTTTTCTTAAATATATACATGCATATTTGTGTATTTAAATATGCAAAATAATTATACACACATATATTATGTAAACAAAAACTTTTATTTTGTATGTTATTAATCGTTTCACAGCCCTATTATGTATTTGCTTGTTGGTTTTGTTTTGCAGGATAATGAAGAAAAGGCTCTGTGTGTTATCCCATTCATAACATCTCCTAAAGAGGAGGAGAAACTGATTCAAGGCTGCGTAAGGGTGAGTATCCAACGAGGCAAATATTCCCCGTCTTTTGGTGTCTATGTTCAGTGTCTACAGTTCTAAAATTCTCCTGGCATTATTATTTTTTCGCTTACAGCCTGTTGTGAAACTACTTTACAACCGAGGAAACAACAAATATTCCTATACAAGGTAAATACAAGTGTTTTATCCTTCTTTAACATTCAAGGTGATTTCACTTTGTGAGAGATTCTACTGTCAATACTTGTCTTTTTGATTGGTTTTATCTTCCTCAAAAGCAACTCGGATGACAACCTTCTCAAGAATATCGAGTTGTTTGAGAAGCTGTCCCTGAGCTACAGCGGTCGTGTGCTCTTCATTAAAGATGTCATTGGAGACGAGATCTGCTGTTGGTCCTTTTACGGACAGAAGCGTAAACTAGCAGAAGTCTGCTGCACATCCATTGTTTATGCTACTGAGAAGAAGCAGATAAAGGTAACTCCTGTTTGAATAGGTATTTGCAGAGACACTTACATAGCCTGTTCAAATGTATCAAAGGACTCTTGTAATGCTCTCAGGTTGAGTTTCCAGAAGCACGGATCTACGAGGAGACACTAAATGCCTTACTTTATGAGACTCTCCCAGTCCCAGATAACTCCCTGTTGGAGGCCACCCGCAGACGGAACAATTGTTGCTCACACAGTGAAGAGGAGGAGGCCGTGGAGCTGAGGGAGCGTGTGCGTCGCATCCGCATTAAAAGATACAGCACTTATGATGACAGACCGCTTGGACATTAGCCTAACTGAATTGAGGCTTCCAAGACACTATGTATCCTCAGTTTTCACATGGTCTGTGGAGAACACTAAACTACCAGCACCCTTTAACCACTTTAAAATTTGCTGCTGGTAATTTGCTGCTTTCTTTTTGTTTTGTAGGGGGATTGACAATCAGTGTTTTGAATGAAATCTATCTTGAACATGAATGTGAACGGAACACAAAAAGGTTGATCTTGAATTGGTATCAATTCCTACATTTTAATTTATTGTTATTTTATGAGGAAAACGCTATGCCTTTAAATAGTAGTTACTAGTCTAATCATAGAATGTTTTTATAACATCTTGACAAGATAAATATGCCAAATACAGTACATCACTCTGTTTCTGCTAATCATACAGGATCATATATTCTGTTACAATCATCCATACTGATATTTAAGATGGATTTGAAAACAAATTATGTATATGGACTTGGGGTGTTGCATATGGGAAAATTAGGTTGTAGTGTGTGATTTATTTTGGTTTAGTGTGATAAGAAATGCGCTTGTAATGCCTAAATAATGAATGAATGTGCCCTAGAAGTTTCCTACTCTAATTATTTAACACTCATGAAAAATGTCTATATTAACTTAAAGTGATAGTTCATCCAAAAATGAGAACACAAGACAAGAGAAGATATTTTGAAGAATGTTTTTTGCACATACAGTGAAAGTCAATGGGGTCCAAAACAACACTGGACCTCCTTGACAATATATTGAAAGAAAAAATGTCTTGTGTTTCATTTTTGTTACAGGTTTGGTATGGTAAATTGTACCTCAAAGCCCTTAAACAGCTTGTAAATATTCTGTATCAACTCAATAGTTTCATTATTTTGGTTTCATTTGGATGCACCTGTGCCATTTATAGGTGACAGCTAGCTGTGCTTTCCATGAGACTGTAACCATTACACGTCACGTATCTTTTCATCCAATAGGTCTTATAAACATCATGTCTTGATGAACGCTTAATGACAATGCCTGATTAGTTGAACCACCTCAAGCGCCTCCATCTGAGCTGTTAAATGTGGAGAGGAGCTATAAATAAATCGCCGTCACTGCCTTGAACAGCGTACGGCGCGTGAAGAGATTTATCCCATTGATCAACAATGACGAGGGGGAGGGGTCAGCGGCGATTGCGTCATCGAGGAACCAAAGATGGCTTCACGATGCGCTTCGGCAGTGCTTAGATGCGTCAACGCTCAGCTGTCAGTACACACGTTTATATGAAAGGGGAGGAATGATTTAAAAAAAACATTTGGGGAAAAGGCAGGCGAGCCGTTTAGATTTATGTCTAGCCAGTTTATGCTGGACTTGGGGTTTTTAACAGTCAGGGACAATGGGTTCGACTACAAATGAAGAATTTAAAGAGAAATTACTATGGAACGTCAAAAGAGAAGTAAGTATTATTCACTTATATATTCTCTTAGTTTTGATTGCATAGTGCAAGCGTGTTTTCAGCATCTTGAAGGTTTGTTGTTACGATGTGGAGATCCGAATGAAGTGCATATATGGAAGTTTCAGATGTGCTGCTGGTTACAGTGAATCAATTTGGGTTAAGTTACAGTTGTGAGTCTCCAGACAGGCTATAATGTATCTTATAGATTCACATTCAAACCATTTTACTTCCTTATCCGCGTATATAGGCTATGGCTATGGGAGACATTGATTTAATCAATGGTTTCTGCGGTGATCAGAGTCTTTCCTCTGCAAGTGGCTAAATACACTCTAAACCGCATGGACGAATACGTTTTCAGTGTCGAGTATGGTCATAGTCGTTTCGCAATGTTTACAAAAACGAGCCGATACCGAATTTCCATTGACAGATACTTGAGGGGCTGCACGAGCGCACAGAGCACGCGAGGTTTATTTATAAGGCGACTGCGAGAGAAAGGAGCGACTACTTTATTATTTGACTGATTAGAAGAAATCGATTGCATTATGTGCTTGAATTGTGTTTTGATCGCACGAAGAGACTATAAGTTAGGTTTTATATATATATATATATATATAGGCCTATATATATATATATATAGGCTATATGAAGAGTTCAGATGCAAAAGCCTCTAAATGCCATTTGAAATTTTCATCTTTCATGATGATTTTTATCAAACTTGTATATTTAAGTTCAGTAATTTCACTTAAATAACAATTAATAGGTAATTATCATTGCCATTTAAGTGAAATTACTCAACTTAAATATACAAGTTTGATAAAAATCATCATTAAAGAAGAAAATTTCAAATGGCATTTAGAGGCTTTTGCATCTGAACTCTTCATATATACATATAAACTTTCTCGTTTGGAAATTCAATAGTATCCTAATTTTTCGAGCTGTTTTAACTCATTTCAATTATCCAAGTTTGTATATTATGTGAGGGGATTAGTCAAATTAATAACTGCATAATATAAGACCGGTATTGTTGGATTACGATACAGGTTGGACTGGACAAGGCTACCTTTGTATTGTAGCTTCAAACTCATTATTAAAAACCGTTTAATTCGACCACTAGATTCAATTCAGTAAGGGATAATAATGTATATGTGAAGTGTAGGCTATAATGTAATACATCACTGGTTTATTTTGCTATAATTGACGGTGTATTGATAAAACATATTTTGAAATCATTGTGTTGGACCTCTATGCTAGCATGCATCTACTTGGCCAATAGTCCATTACAGTAGGCTACAGAAAACAATATACGAACATCTTAGAGGTGAAATAGTTTAGTGATCATTATACAAAATATTGTATGATTGACCAATCAGATCCAAGTATTCCATGAGCTCTGTAATAGTATTGTAAAACAGATTAATCCAAGTATAATCTTAACCTAAAAAAAACTATATAGGCTATATATAACCATTTTATTCCACTTCAAAATAAGAACACTGTGTATGAATGCTCTTGAGCATATTTTGTATTAATTATTTGATAAGACTTCACATTTGCATTGAGTTTCAAATGTTTTCACTCCAAGAATTGTATAGTGGAAGAAGCTGTTACATTCTTTCATATCAGTATAATTAATTCTTATCTTTTGCCTTACAGTGCAGGGAACGCTAGTTTTAAACCCAGCCCTCATGAATAATAGAAATTCTGAATGAATTGCTGCAAAGAATAGACCTCCTAAATTGGTACCATGTGTCAGAACAGAACAGATTGTGTCCAATGCTGATTCAGCCTCTTCAACTTAATGCCCAATCCTGGCAGACATAATTTCTCATGATAGTTAAGGGCATGTCTAATAAAGGCCAAAAATCATGCATGTGAAGAGCAGCAGTAATTCTTAAGGTGTCTGGCCTCATGTGGCCCGGTGGCCTGGGTTAATAAGGAAATCAATTTTTAACGTCTCGGTCATCAAGTTTTAAAGAACTTTTGTGCGTCATTCACTTAAATCTCCTATTTTTGCATCTAAAATTAGTTACTTCCTCTACAGAGATGTCCTGGACTCTCTTCACCAACAACAACAACAACAATAATTTCCACTGTTTTAACAGTGTTTCTCCTTCAGTTACTTCCACAATTACCTTTCATACCTTGATTTGGGGCATACAAGTACACGCTATTTCAAATTAATCATATCGCTTCAAAAGACACACACACACACATATAATATATACATTGTGTTTAATTTGTCGTTTAATAAGATCTAATATGTCGTTGTTGCCGAGAATTTTCACGTGAAGAAACACATAGATCCGACAAGTACATGCATGCCATGTACTTGGTCCACAATGGTTCAGTGGCAGAACTTTTGCCAAGCATATCAGAGGTTCTGGGTTCTAATCCACACTCGTATAGTTTTGTTTTTTTCTCTCTTGTTAAAAGGGGCTATCAGTGGTTGTATATCAAGCAGGGACACGTTTGTGTGCGTTTTACGTTTATGAGTCTCCACTACGGATTACAGCGCGCGTCAGAGTTCAAAATTGGTGGAGACAATATCGACCCTGGCAAAAAGTGGTGAGCACTTTGAAACACTGTAAATGTGTCTGCCAAATTAATTAATGTAACATAAGAATAGACTGATATGTCCCACATTAGAGTGTTCTTCAGCAGCTTTGCAGTGAATGTAGTAGCCATAGACTGTAAAAAGTAGCCTAGTCTGCCAGTCGATCTTGTAATAGCTGAGACCGCTTGGCTGAAGGGGCGTGTCCACCGGCCAGCTCAGTTTCACACAAAGCCCGCCCTTTTACCCATATATGGATTGGCTCGAATGTGGGTGGGGTTAGGATTTCAAGATTTTCAAAAGATGGCCCCGCCCATACCCCCTATAAATGGCCTCAAAACCGTAATTCAGAAAGTCTATAGGTGATGTTACAAATGCTTTGTCCATTTTTTTAATGATATATATATAGTAAGGAAATAAATGTGCCGTTTTACAGGAAATAACAGCCCTCTGCAATACACACAGAATTAGATTTTTTTTTCCTCCATTGACTTTCTTTGTTACATCCCATGTCTCTGTCGCTTTAAGCTGCAGTCAGCCGTCTTCTGGTTGCCTAGGAACTGAAAGCATCAGCAGCTAGCTAAGAAGTTAAATTGCATCAGTGGACGATTAATACAGCTGCATGAAGCAGGGATCGTCACAAATGGCTCCCACAAGAGCAAAACAACTTAGTTTTGTTTTCCTGTTCTCTGCTTTTCCCCCTTTCAATATTTATTGGTTGCACCATGTTGCAATTATCTATTTAATAGTTACTGATTTTTTTTGCATTTGCAGAAATACATCCTCAATTTTTTTATTGAGGTTTGTATGATTTTCTGTCAAGAAGCTTTCTGTAGCACTTTATTACAGCCCTGTTTCCATCCATTCTGTTCTATGTACTTGGTAATAACTGGGTAATAATTAGGTATTAACCCTGAACCTACCTGTAAATCTAACCTTAAGCCATGTTGTTGCCTTACAATACTCATTTGTTTGGTGGGTAAGTATACTGTAAGTACATTGAAAGTGCACATACTGTAAAATAAAGTGCAACTGACTTTTGTGTGATTGACTGCAATCCTTCAGGTGTTCACTATTTCCTCTTAAAGGGATAGTTCACCCAAAAATCTTGAAAAAAGGAGACTATTTACTCACCCTTAAGTTGTTTCAAATCTCCACGTTTCTTTATTCTGATTAAGATATTATGAAGAATGTTGTTAAATAAATAGTTGACGGTACTACTGCCAGAGAGGACTGTGACTTTAACACATCATCACGTGAACGACTTTAGGCACCGGTCTTGACATTTTCGGAATAAATATATTATTGTGATTATACTTGCCTGTCTGTTATGTTTTTCTATATAACTGTAGTCTACGTAGTTTGTTAGGGAATGGTTAGGGGTAGGAGTAGGATTAGTGGCTCAAAATATATTTTAATGCTATATTGTTAATAAAACTGCCATTTTCTCATTACGTTTTATCCTTTTTATATTCTGTATAAAATGGGTATGTTTGGGAATAGGGTTAAGGGATCTTACATTTATCTATTAAATGGTAAAAGGGAAATTATACAGATAGCTTTATTATATGGAATATGTTGCAGATATCTATCCAAACATGTTAAAAGTATGTTTTCGATCAATGCTGAAAATAACATATTAATACCTACATATTAACTATGAGACCAGGCTGGAAAAGCTCTGGATACCCCTTATTTCATCTATAAAAATCCATAGTTTTGTGTGCTGTTGAAGCGTCCAACTGCTCTCGAGTCTTTTTCGAAGGCGTGTTATGTGATCCATCAGGCTAGTTACTGGCTCCACAAGTTAATTTTTTTCTTTTTAATCCCAAGGACAACTGGCCAAACACTTGATCAGCCTTTAAATCATCCTTCTTTTGCTGTCTATTGGCCTTGTGGCAAATCTCATACCATGGGGTGCACACAAATCATGGCCGTAATCAGCAGATGCCGATAATTTACGCCTTCCTATTGTTACAATTACGCTTGTACTGTTCTTCAAATTACACAAACAGTATAAAGCTGCTAGCAAGGATTGTGATTAATTAGTCTGGGATTTGCTGTAATACTGACAGCTGGAGGAGAAAAATGTTGACAAAGCCTCATTCTACAGTTCCTTGCACTTTCTGGGAAACTCTATTGAATGATGCTAATTAAAGCATTTGTGGTTGCGCTGTCATGATTAATTAGTTGCTTTTGTTCACCCGATTCCAAAGTGCAGAAAGAAGTTTGACTTGCCATTATTTTTCGCCAGCTCCTAATTACATGTCTTTCCATGTCTAGGTGAAGCAGATTATGGAGGAGGCGGTGACCAAGAAGTTTGTACATGAAGACAGCAGCCACATTATTGCACTTTGCAGTGAGTACAAATCAGTTCATTCAATTCATTTATTTGTATAGCGCTTTTCACAGTGCACGTTGTTTTGAAGCTGCTTTACAGAAAATGTACATTTCTACATTAAAATTTAGAGTAATTTTTTTAGAGGTACAGAAATAATGTCCATATGTTGAAAATGTACAGTTCCAAGGTGTGATCGTAATGATGCTGATGCTTGTCTGTGACATAGGGAATGTTGTTGATTGCGCTGATTCGAATGTCAGGATGTTATTTTGCTGGTTAACTGGTTATAAGGTTTGAAATGTGAGAATAATTTGTGGTGGTCTTCGAATGATCTTTTAGAATTGGTTGAAAATAATCAACAGTATTAGTTGAAATCAACAGTTGGTTGAAAATCATCATAAAAGTGGGTTTATGAATTGAACAAAATGTCATGAATTAAACTACAGCTGCAGAATTTCCTAAATTCTAAGTATTATGAATTAATAATTAATATGCATTTAGTATAACTTTTTTAGTAATGGAAGACTAATAATTATTCAGAAATGTATTCTAAATTTAGATAAAAATAGATTTTTTTTAAATAAAATGTTAGCTGCTCAATTTCCCATTGTGAATGAAATGATTAATTAACTAATTATTATACACAAATATACATTTTTGTAAAGAAAACCTAATAATAACTGAGAAATATATTATAGATATACTATAAGTAGAAATAACATACCTTTCTCACACATAAACATAGCTGCGCAATTTCCCAGCTGTTGTTGCAGATTTATTTAGTAACTAATAGGTAATATGCATTGATATGCAAAGGAAACCCAGTAATTACTGAGAAATATTTTATTTAAAAATATAAATATATAAATATAAAAATAGACACAGTTTCCCAGCTGTAATTGCAATCATATTGGAGAATATATATATATATATATATATATATATATATAAAAGACAACTTGGCATGTAATGAAAAAGATCTTTCAGGCTTATAAAATTATGTTTGCTTAAAATATAATAATAATAATAATAATAAGTAACATTTTTGCAATGTGAAAAAAATAAATAAAACTATATATTGTTGAGTAGGGACGACTTCAGACAGAGGCAAGGGCTGGGGATTCATGGCATGATAGTTCCAGAGTTTTGGATCACTGCCAATATTAAGGTTAATTTGTCCAGTGCGGATTACTGGGAGTGTGTGTGTGTGTGTGTGTGACTCACACTCTTTACTCTAGTGACACAGATACAGGCCGGAACATTAACCCAGCCTCATTACGTCAGAGAAACACCAGTGCTGCGTGTATGTCTCAGTGTATATCTCAATATCTTGACTGAGATATTGCTCAGTCAAGTTTCATCAATGCAGAAGTGTGTATATGCTGTTAGTATATGAATGGAAATACAATAAGAACAGGGAAAGGAATAGTATGAATGAAGGAATGGATGAGTAATGTACTACTGTTTTACACAGCTTTGTTACCATTTAGATGCTCCTTTTGCCTTTGTGTTACAGTAAACAGTGTATTTACCACCAGAAAGCACTTGATCTGTGTGTTTATGCAAACATGAATTCAGTTTATAATTTGTAGTCAATCTGTATTTCACACATAGCAGATATATTCTTGCACTACCGCTGCCTGAGCTTGTTGATATTTACAGTTTGTGTCTCTTTTCATCCAATGTGTTGTGCCAGCTTTTGCTTGGATGCTCAGTTGTTGTTGTGTGAATTTCCAAACCACAGAAGAGCAGTAAGATCTAAACACAGTGTACACTACATCAGGACATGTCACTACAAATCAAAAATTACTATGTCCATGCTTGCGTTGCGTGAGTGGCCTGAACTCTTTTATGCCGTGCTGCTATGTTTATAGAAAATGCTAAATTTATCTATTCCAAACTCATGTTATTTTCCATGACTGCTCTCATTTAAAAGACTAAAATGGAACAGCTTCTGTGTATCGAGGTTAAAGGTCACACGATAACAAGCAGTGATGTCAGCCTTCGGCTACGCTGTGACTCATCTCTGTCCTTCTGTTTGCCGGTTAGCGTTTTTTTAATTGTGGAACAACTGGTGATAAATTTGAATTATTTCTTCTGTTACTCTGGCCCTTTTTTTTGGATACCGTAATGAGTACATCTTCATTCGGCACTCCTTTTCATTAGCTCTAAATTGCGAGTTGGAATATGAGATTTGCTGTGTAAATGCTTTAGCAATAGCTGTTTAATTCCATAACTACAGCAGATCTAACCTTCTTAATGCTTAATATTAGTCCTTTGAGATGATGTGTTTGCACTCAGTTTATGTGAAACCCTGTGGTTCAAGATGTTAATGAGGTGAACAGTGGCACAAATAATACAGTGCAACTTCTCTGAAAAAAAATACAACTTGGACACCAATCGGGGACATGCCAATATCAATATATAGGCCTCTATAGACCATTTCACAAGATGTAAACAACACTGGTCCAGTAGCACTTCCTGTTTCAGTTTGTAACTGTTTTCTTTAATTCACGTGTAAAGAAAACATCTTAAAGATGTTTGTTTAACTTTTTGATTCAGTTTTAAATGTTCTGTTGGTTGTATTTTATCCCAGCTTTTATGTAGTGTTAAAAAAACTGGAACAGGAAGTGCTTCTGGACCAGTGTTGTTTACATCTTGTGAAATGGTCTATAGATTAATAGGCATATATATATATATATATATATATATATATATATATATATATGTGTGTATGTGTGTGTGCATATGTATATGGATGTGTGTGTATAGTACTATTTTTTATGTTTTTGAAAGAAGTTTTTGATGCTCATCAAGCATGCATTTAAAATACAGAAAAACAGTAAAATTGTATTTGAAATAATGGTTTTCCATTTTAATATATTTTCAAATATAATTTATTTCTGTTATGCAAAGCTGAATTTCCATCAGCCATTATGAAAATACAGCTTTGATATGAAATTGGTCGAAGGATCAATTATATATATATTTTTGTTTGTTTATTTGTTTCAAGGATAGCCCCTTGAGATGAACCATCTCATTTTCGAGGGGGTCCCTTCTTTACAACAAACAAGATCATAATAGAAGTTCATAAATAAAGTAAATACAACACAAGACTATAACAAACATTTAAATACATTGACATTCTCATACATACACACACACTTTCAAACAATGCTCCCATAATATATATATATATATATATATACTATGATACTGGTCACTTCTAACTGTATTCCAATTTCATAATTATAAATAAATAATTTAATATTTTTTGGACTGATTAAGAAGTGTAGGACTGATGCATTTACATTCTTGTGTAATTTGTAGTTCTTTTCATTTCTTTTATTTAGAGTGGCAAAGAAAGAGGCTGATTTTTGTGTGCTTTCTTCTGAGACTTTCCTCCTCTCACTGTGGTTTTTACACTCTCGCGCGCATTGCAGGCGTTTGACATGATGATTTGGAGTGTTTTTGGGCATCTGAGTCGTGACTGGTGACCGTGATCGGGGTGATGAGGTTTCAGTATAAACGCTGGTGTGTGTGTGGGGAGGGGTGGTCTGAGAGCGCTGCCAGTATGTCATCGCTACCAAAAAGCCGAGCAGTTGCCCTGTTTTCCAGGCTGTCGTCGGGCACGGATTCCCCACGCAGCCGGCCACCCCCTCACTTTCATCCTGGAGCACGCACTCACCCACGTCACACCAGCTTGTGACAATGCACTTCCCAGCTAAATTATGTTTCAGGGGAATAAATCAAAAGGAATTGTGCCTGTGCAACGTAGGCTGGTTGAACTGTGTGCGTGTTATGGAGGCGGCATGTTGCATTTGAGCACTAACATAAGGCTTTGTTCTGATGTAGAAGGAGAAAGCTGTCCGTTGCATTTCTGTTCATCTCAGTGGTAGTTGCGTGGCTAGACTGTGCCATGATGCCAACCAACTAAACGTTGACTGCTCTCTTCAGACCATTAAATTGTTTTTAGCATATTTGACTCGTACCCATGAAGTAGCCCAGTTTGTAGTCTGCAGCAAAACAATAATCTTATGGAATTGATTTAAAATTTGCAAACGAACGGGTTGATTTGGGATAATTTTTTTTAATGAAAGCTTGCCGCTCAAGATACATTTCTTATTATTATTATTATTATTTTTAATGTTGAAATCACTGCTTAAAGGTGTAGTATGTATGTAATACACATATTGGTTGAAATAGGTACTGCAGTCCAAGTTCAAATTATTGGAGAGAGTTGTTTCTCTTTAGACTCTGTGCTCTTGCGGGTTGCCAGATTGAGGACACACAATGGCCGCTGCAATGGACTGTCTTTTCCAAAAACTGACTTCTCTGTGCATGCTCTTTGAGGTGGTGACCATAAACCTCCATTATATGACTGACAGGCAAGAACAGTTTGATCTAAAAATAACACCTAGTGACACCAAGTGAACTATCCTTTTAAAGTGACGACAGCCATGTTTCTGTCAATAATTTTGGTGTCAAAACAGCTAAAAATAGCTTTACGTTAAAGGAATCAGGATTATGTATTTGATTTATTCAGGACTAAAATACTACCCAGTGTTATTTTCCATTTGATTACTTTATTCAGTTTCTGTATATAAATACTGGTGTTAGGCCTATTCAAAAACGTTTCTGCGTTGTATTTATTTGTGCTACCATTTAAATCAAGCTTCCTTGTGTTGTTTAAATTCTTAACAACAATATTACCCCATTGTAAAAATGCAGCGAGCGCAAACATTTAGGCAAGATAAATGTAATAATTTTGTTTGGAAAAAATGGCCCTTCTCCCCCTCACTAACTGATATAGTCAGTCATAGCATTGAAAAAACTCAAAAATGTTTATGTGCAGTCACAAAGAACTCTCTTAGTCTGGCAAGAACATTTTGAGCTGTTATTTATTTCCTAAATTGGTCACTTTTTTGGCTTCTCTTCAGAAATGAGATGAGTCAAAATGTTTCCCAGAAAGCGTCTGTCAGATGCTTTGATCTCAATGACGTCTTTTTCCGTGTTTG